TGAAAATACAGAATTCTACGCAATATATAGGTGCTACTGAGTTCGTCCAAATCTGTACTTAGTACTCTAGCTCAGCCCTATATGCTTCTAGATGACTTCGTAGGCGTTTGAACATAAGAATTGTGAAATTCCGAAAAAAGTAAAAAACAAATTCAAATTGAAAATGATATTTGGAAATTGGAGTTATGTTTGGATGCGAATACAAATGTAGTTGTTTTGAATTTTTGTGAGTGATTTGGAGTAAAAATTGTGAAAAATAGTTTTTCTAGAGTAGTTCGAATTCCAGAAAATACCAGAATTCAACTTCAAGTTGGATTTGGAATTTTCGTGGCCAAACACTAATTTTGAGAAAAAATATAAGAAAAAGTTCCGAAAAAATATGAAATTCTTTTTTATGGCCAAACGATCCTTTCATCTTGCTTTTATGCTTCTCATTCAAGGCAGTTGTTTCTTATTCCACACACTCTTTTGAAAATCAATATAGTCATCTTGTTTTTGCTAATAAAGTTATTAAAAGGTATCATGTGATGTCATCATATGTTTTAGAATTTAATTCTGCGCTATTAAGCTTTAAACACCTTGTTTTATTCTTTCTCGATTTGCGTGCACAGACCGAGCATGTTTCTGCAAAGTTTTTTTTGTTAAAAGTTGATAAAAATAAGAATTCTTGCCTAAAAATTTTATTTGAGTTGACCCGGATTTATATTATGACGGTCCCGGTGGGTCCGTATCGTGATTTGGGACTTGGGCGTGTGCCCGAAATCGAATTCGGAAGTCCCTAGTCCGAGATATCGGACTTTGTCAAAATTTGAAAGTTAAAGGCTTAATGAAATGGAAATATTTGACCAAGGTTTGACTTTTTGGATATCGGGTCCGTATTTTGGTTCTGGAACCCGGTATAGGTCCAATACCATATTTATGACTTGTCTGTAAAATTTGGTGAGAAACGGGGTTGGTTTGATGTGATTCGGACGTACAATTGTGAAAATAAAAATTTCAAAGTCTTCTTGAAAACTTCATTTAATTTGGTGCTAAATTCGTAGTTCTAAGTGTTATTTTGGCGATTTGATTGCGCGAGCAAGTTCGTATGATATTTTTAGACTTATGTGTACTTTTGGTTTAGAACCCCGAGGGCTCGGGTGAGTTTCCGATAGGCCACGGAGTCAAATTGGACTTAGAACATTTGCTGGTATATGCAATTTCTGGGAACTGGCCTCTGATCCCGCATTTGCGATAATAGTCTCGCATTTGCGAGCTACTCATCGCAAACGCGAAGAGTAGCTGGGCCACACAGTGTTCGCATTTGCGAAAGATATTCCGCATTTGCGAAGTGAGTCTGGGGGGCTAGGTCGCATATGCGGTCAGCCCAGTTCGTATTTGCGAACATCCCTTCGCATTTGTGAAGAGAGCAGAGGTGTGAAGGGCTTCGCATTTGCGATAGTTACTTCGCATTTGTGGTCTTTGCATTTGCGAAGCCCAGGTCGCAAATGCGACATCTGGAGCTGGGTAAATATGACTTAGACGGGATTTTTGATTCATTCTTCAAATTTTCAAACTCAAGAACCCTAGAAGCGATTTCCCAAAGAATTCTTCTTCCCCAAATCATTGGTAAGTGATTCTAAACTAGTTTCTTTCAATCTTTCATTACTTTTCCTTAGATTTCAACCTATAATCTAGAGTTTTCATGGTGGGAATGGGGGTTTTTGGGTAGAAACTAGGAATTTGGTAAATTGAGGATTTAGACCTCAAATTGAGGTTGGATTCCAAAATAAATAAAATAATCGAGCTCGGGGGTGAATGGATAATCGGGTTTTGGTCCGAATTTATGGTTTGGACCAAGCGAGACGTTGTGTTGACTTTTTCAGTAATGACCTAAATTGAATTCTTTTCAATCGTGGGTAGTTCCTAAGGCTTAATTTGAATCGTTTGGTTGTTAAATTATTAGATTATGTTGGTTCGAAGGCTTGTACGAAAGGCAAAGCGGTGGTGGAACTTTGAGGTTGGTCTTTGGAGCGAGGTAAGTATCGTGGACTTGAGGGATTATGACTTATTTCTCTATTTGCTACGTGTTTAGCTGTTGGGTGCAACGTATAAGTGAGGTGACGAGTACCTACGCGTTGTTGTCGGGTAAAGCATGCGGGTGGAACTTGGTTTCTCGTAATTATTGCTTTTCTTTGATCATGTTATCCGTGTTTAGACTAGCATAATCAAGTTAATCGTTCTTATCATGTTTACGGATCTTTTGGGTAATAATTGAGCATTAATTTGAAAATTGAGGTTGGTATTGTGGAACCAAATGTTGAAGTAAGACTTGTTCTTGTTATTTCTATCTCCCTGTTGTCTTTTGTTCATTGTTTTATGGTAAGGGAGAGTGTAATAGCACGAAGGATGATGCCGTGCCATATTGTGACTGTTAATGAACGAAGGGTGATGCCGTGCTATGTTATGAGAGTTAATGCACGAAGGATGATGTTGTGCCGTTTATATTGATTATGTGGTGCGGTTGAGAGTAAAAGCACGAAGGGTGATGTCGTGCATTTTCCTTTATTTACTTGCTAATATTGGTTCAAGGTATATTGGTTGATCAAGTTCTCATTACTGTTGTGATTCTCTATCTTGTAATCCCCTCAGCATGTTGCCCCTCCCGATATTACCTGTCTATCTTTTACTTGTCGTTATTTTGTACATATACTGTTAAATTGCACAGGTTTATTATGTGGGTGTCTTGTCATAGCCTCGTCACTACTTCGTCGAGGTTAGGCTCGACACTTACCAGTACATGGGGTCAGTTGAACTGATACTACACTGCACTTCTGTACAGATTTTGGTATTAGTCCCAGCTGATCGAGAGGCGTAGCACCTCAAACTGGTTCATCGGAGACTCAAGGTAGATCTGTCGGTGTTTGCAGACCTTGAAGTCTCCATCTATCTTTTCTGTTATTACTGTTTCTTTCACTCAAACAGTTGTATTTCTTTCAGACTTTTATTTGTAGTAAATCCTAGAAGTTCGTGAATTATGACTCCAGATCCTGGTGATAGTAAATATTGAAGTTTTTATAATATTCCGCAAACTTTATTTTAGCTTCTGTTTAGCTTAATTAATTCTGCCACTAAAAGTGTACTGAAGTTGATTTTAAAAAAAATCTCTAATGTTTGCTTGCCTAGCAAGTGAAAATATTAGGCGTCATCACGGTCCCGGTTGTGGGAATTCGGGGTCGTGACATATCCTGTCCTCGCTTTATAACCTTAAATTGTGGCTTCTGCTTCTTCTTCTTCTTCTTCTTCTAGGTGGGAGGTTGGGCTGGTAAGGTTTTGTCCTAAGCTTATAGTGATTATTATTGTGTCCACTTTATTCTTCCGTTTTTCATAGCCGGGCCTTATTCGTTGATTTCTGTTATTGCTTTTCATCTATTTTCTGGTTCTTATGATGTTGTTATGATTCCTATGGTTTTATTGATTGTACTGATATATTGTCTCTTTTTGTTCTCTTCAGCCGAGAATTTTTCGGAAACAGTTTCTCTACACCCCGCGGTAGGGGTAAGATCTGTGTACACTCTAACCCTCTCTAGACTCCACTTGTGAGAACTCATTGGATTGTTGTTGGTAACATGACATTATTAACTGCCAATTACAGGGAAAATCTATAACTAATTAAGTAGGAATGAGCCAACTAACCCGATCAATCTCCTGCCTCTATCAGAAAAGGAAAACGTTGGAGTTGACACATTTCAAAAAAAGTTTGCTTCCAAAGTTAAAGAATCCTTTAGAGAAGCTCCTGATAACCCGTCCAATTTAAGATGGACAATTAAACACGTGTTGGGACTATACTAGTACTATCATAAAAATCTCTTACGCAAAGGCCAAATACAGACGCTCAATATGGCGGGAAGGTGTACTCTTATAAAGTCTACATTAAATACAATTCCTAATCACCAAATGCAGCTCTCAATACTTCCAAGTAGGACACTCAAAGAAATTGACAAAATTCAAAGGGATTTCCTGTGGGGAACTACAAGGGAAAAGAAGAAAATGCACTTAATAGCCTGGAATGTAGTAACCCTGCCAAAAGATATGGGGGGCTAGGCATTAGAAAGGCTCAATCTAAAAACTTGTCCTTCCTAACAAGCCTGGTTTGGAAGCTCCTAAATAACCCCTCTTCCACTTGGGCACGTATTATTACTAGTATATACGGCCATATAAAATCAACAAAGGGAGTTTCACACACGTGGAACAGCCTCTTAAAGGGATGGCATTTGTGTAGAGAAGGTATAAGATGGCCTGTGAATAACAATACAAACATGTCCATATGGGATACCAATTGGATCCCTAAATTTGGGGAATTAAGGGAAAATGTTATAGGCCTTCTCAATAAAAAGGAAAGTGATCTGAAAATAAAAGACATAAAACTCCATGGTTCATGGGACTTGGCTAACATTTCATTTGACCTTCCTAACAATATTCTGAACAGTATCCACTCACTAACCACATCTATCTCTCATCCTAACACTATTATTTGGACTAAAAATACCAGTGGAATATTCACAACCTCATCATGCTACAATTTAATTGACAAGCCTATCTATAATGGAAACGATTTTGCATGGATATGGGGATTGAAATGTCCTGGGAAGATCAAATTTTTTATATGGAAATGTTACCACTCAAGACTCCCTACTAGGGAGTACCTAGGGAAAATTGGTGTTAACATAGACACAAACTGCCCAATTTGTAAAGTTAACGAATCTCTTCTCCACATTTTTTGGGATTGTAAAATAGCAAAATAATTCTGGGCATCCATAGGGGTACATTCAAGCAACCCTATGCCATATGAGCACTGGGTGGATTTTCTAAGAAATAAAACTCCTAACATTCCAAACAATCTCATCACTTGGGAAGGGGTTTTTCCATTTGCATTATGGTCAATTTGGAAAAACAGAAACGACAACAATATTAACAACACTGCCAATAAAATCAACACCACTAAAATGTTTAATAATGCAATGGAATTTTTCTTCCTAGCTACTACACACACCACTAGTAATAGATCCATTCAGGTGAAGGTCAAGTGGCACCCACCTCCTCAGGATTGGTATAAGATCAATATTGATGGAGCTTTCAATGAAGAGAATTTACATGGCGGCATAAGTGGAGTCATAAGAAACAATAGGGGAGAATGGATGCTAGGATACTACAAAAAGTGTGAAAGTATATCCCCAATCCATGCTGAACTGCTGGCCTTTCGACAAGCATTGCAAACAATTATGAAGGAAAATTTCACACCATGTGAAATAGAAACGGATGCTACTGAGGTCATACATTTCATGGATGAAGATTATCCTACTTACAATAGTTTACTTAATGAGTACAGGTACTTCATGGAGAAGCTAATGGACATGGGAGAGATCAGACTGAAGCATAACTTTCGCGAGGGGAACAAAGTTGCACACTAACTAGCCAAGGAAGCACTACTTTATCCTAGCTATAATATTACTAGCTATTTTGCGGAACCTCCTAATTTTGCTCTAAATGTGTATTCTGCTGATAAGGATGGTTGTAATAGTTTTCGAACTTGTAGTTTAGTTGCATGTAATATTTTGGCCTCCCTAGGTAATGAAAATGCCTTAGGGAGTGTGAACCATTTATGTATTAACGGCGGCTCTTTGGGACACTGTCCCTAAGACAATGTCGTAAGTTATAATATAATATAAGTATCTTATCCTTAAAAAAAAACAGACTCTCCTATTGATTTAATACTACATCCAATACATACTTAGAAGATATGTTTTATCACAAACTTTTTTTCCTAGCATTCGAGAATTTCAATTGATTTTTTTCGGAATATTAGATAATCTTCTTAAACATGCCTTTTATTTGGTAGGTGAAGCTACCACAAAGGCTATAAACTTATAAATGAAGAGCAATTTATTAAACAAATGATCTTAAATCTTACTGATCCGCAATTGGATTGTTTGAGATTCAGAAGTTAAAAAAAAAAAAATTATCTACCAATAGTGGTCAAATTGACATATTATTAAATTACGTCCCTATTGCCACAGCTATAAATATTAGGATTTTGAGAATAAGCCTTAACAACTAATGGTTGATGATGGCTCTAACGAGTGATTTTGCTAGAATAAGCAATAATGAGATCGAATAATAAATTACTGTCCAAAATAAAATAAGAAAGCATATGTTTTGATCCTCTGAGTCTGTTAGTATATTAGAAAGTATAGGAGTGGTACTCCCTTGATTTTATTTTATGCCACCTTTTTCTGAAATAGTATCTCTGATATTTGTAAAGTAATTGTAGAGTATATAGTTTTAGACTTTTCATTTTATCCTAATAGCACGCTCTTATGATAACAAAATATCATAATATGGTTTACACCAAAATATTTAATAATACTTTTGTGACAAATGTGGAATTGACTAAAGAAATTAGAGAAAAAAAATTGAAAGATAATTGTATACACGAGGGTACATTAAAATCTATCTATATAGAATAGGAGAAGCAAATCAATGTGATGATACCAAGTGTCACAACAAAAATTCAACAATTGTCAAATTTTACGACAAAATTAGTAAGGTTAGTTAGTAATTAGTTACTCTTTTTGAATTTGAATTTAAGATAATTAAATATTTATATATTTTTATTTCTATTATAAAAAAGGAAAAATATATAGATATATAAATTCAATGTAGAGATTTATAAAATGATAAGACTAATTTATTTTTTGAGAAGAGAATTTTTTTGAATAATTCATATGGTCATGCTATATGCTATATGGATAAGATAAAACTAAAGACAAAAACATAAACAATAATTTCAATTAAAAAAATAAAAAATATATAAAGATATAATTTAACTTCTTATGTAGTAATCTTAATAAAAGAATTAAACTTTTATATTAAATACAAACGAGAAGAAGAATTCAATTTAATTTCTTATGGGAAATAATACAAAATTAATAATTATTATAATTATTAGTAGATTTATGACATATAATAAAAGTACTTCTCTTTTTAACCTTTGAGCTAATGTATAAAGAAGAGAATAGATATAATGTGATTCTATAGATACTTTAAATTTATTTAATAAATTTAAATAAATAAATAATACTCAAAAATATTATTGATAAATTTAAATATCAAAATAATTATGAGAAAGTCATACAAGATAAAGTCAAGTTAAATTTTAAGAGTAATACAAAATTATATTTATTGTATTATATTAAACTGGTAATTTGTTAAAAATTTATATGATAATTATAATAATATTAAGTAATGAATAATACAATTAGATAAGCCAGGAACAAAAATAATAATAAAATAAAAAATTGTGAGAAAATATAAAAAAATATAAGTCTTATAATTAGAATTATGATGAGAAAAGTCGTAAATATACTCATAACTAAAATCATAATAAAAAATAGTTATAAAGGAAGAGTACTAAAAAAATCAAGTGATAGCGTAAAAATGTATATACTCATTAAATTTCTCATGTAGAAAATTTTAAATAATAAATAGAACTCATAATTTCATACTAAAAAATACAAAAATATAAAGATACTATTAGGACATTATACATAAGATAAGCATATTATAACTACCAACGGCTGTGGTGCAGTGGATGGGACTGCTCCTCCCTTAACCAGAGGTCTCGGGTTCGATCCCTGGGTATGGAAAAATCTTTCGTAGGGAGCGCTCCCCCCCGAATGGGGCCTACGCACGCGAAAACTTTCATTAAACTATAAAATGAGAAAACTAAGCAAATATTACACTAGAAAATAGTGTATGAAAAGAGGAGGATAAAGATAATTATAATTATCTTTTGAATTAATTAAAAATAAAAGATAAATAAATAATACTCAAAAAAATTATTGATAAATTTAAATTGAAGAATTTTGAATAGTATAATATAAGTTTTAAAAAAATAAAAATATTTTCAGAGTAAAGTAAGAAAATATATATCTATGTTATATTAAAAGAGAAGTAGTATCAAAATATTAAGCCAATTGATAAATTAATAAAACGTCACATTAGTAAATGTATAGTACTACGTACTTTTTAATTTAATATAAGGAACAAATAATTTACTTGCTTATTATATGATGTGTATCCTTTGGTTTTATATAGACTTTGTTATATTTGTGCACACTACATTAAAGGATAAACTAATAACTAATATTTATTCAAATAATATGATATATTAGATCATAATTTTATAAGATTAATATTTAGTCAAATTATCCACGTATCGCGCGGGTTATAATACTAATTATAATAATTGATAAATTCGAAGAAAATGTAATAGATAGTAGACCAAATATATAAACATCCCCTTAAATTTGTCTCTGTTTTTTTTATTTAAACATTTAAACTAAGCTTTGTTCTTATTGAACACTTAAATTCAAGTCTAAATGTGCCTATTAGACACGTTCGGCATAATCTCACTTTTACCATGTTGAATCAGGTAATAAAACTTTTGTGAAGATGACCCCAAATATAGTGATAAGATATTGGGTAATGAAAATTTTGTGGAGATTTCTTTGACATATTCTTTCTTGTTCAACTTCTCTCTCCTCTCGCTTTCTTCTATTTCTCTTTATCTACCATTTTCATACCGAAAGTTACTTTCTAAGTTTTGATTTTGATCGGATAACAAAAAAAGAGCAAAAAGAAAGAAAACTGGTTCATATCAATTCTTCAAGAATTATGTGAACTAGGTACGATATTTATCCAGAAACTTTCATATTCGTTTAGTTCCAAACTCTAAGAATCAGAATGTGGTGTGACAACCAATTCTAATAAATTTTGCTATTAAGTTGAATGCTTTTAGTTGACGGTATCACCAACCGCCGACATCAAGAATGGCGATAGATGTATCACAGTTGGTATTTGTTTACCCATAAAACATTATACTAGAATTTGTTACTTGATTTATAAACAAGCAAACTGATTTGATCTAAAAATGATAAATAAATAAGATTAAAAATAAGACTTAACGATTAAAATTCAAGAAGGCGATAATCTTGGCTAGAGAACAGCATCTCCGAGGACAGAAATGAGAACAATGTAAAAGAGCAAAAAAAAGTCGTTTAATTGAGAACGAGAATGGAATACATCATATAATTTGCCAAGAATTTTGTGTGTTACTATGGCTGCTGAGCCTTATATTTATAGCTATATCTAGGGAAACAAGATCCTAAGATCAAGCCCGACTTAAATGATAATAAACGAGTCATTGATGAATATGTAATGGCAGGCTATGAATGCAAATATTCTCCGCAACGGATGCCCACTTAATTTCAGAGGATATCTTCATTGAATGCTATCCAATGGCAAATATACGATTTGCTCCCGTTGACCATACTCCCTTCGGGTTTACCCGATGTCAATTGCAGTTGTTATTTCCGGTACTGGTTGTCACTTGATTCTCCTTTTATCTGTGTCACAACCCAAAATCCATTAGAGGTCTTGATGGCGCCGGACACCACTGCCAGGCAAGCCAACACCAAGAAGTTAATTAAATTCTCATTTTAGTATTTTTGAAATCATCTCTTTTCCTTACATTTAAACAATAAATAATAAATTTCACTAAATAAATAATGATGTCTTTAACAGATTTAAATATTGAATAATCCCATAGTCATCTCAGAACCTGGTGTCACAAGTGCATGAGCAATTTCTAGGAAATAAAGTACAATACGATAACTGTCCAGAATACAATTGGACAGAAAAGAAATACAATACTCTGAAAGAGACTCTGCTGGCTGTGGGTCGTCTCGAGAGATGCAGCTCACCGAAATCTCCGTATCAACCATGCCGCTGCGCCCAACGAGGCCACTAGACACACATGTGCATGTGCAACAACAATGCACAGCAAGTGTAGTAAGAGTACGAAAACAACGCGTACCTAGTAAGTATCCTGTCTAACCTCGAAGAAGTAGTGACGAGAGGTCGACTTCGGCCCTCACTAGTGGTCTAATAAATAAATACCAAAATGTGTGGAAGCATGGATTTTATAAGGTGATTTCAAACTCAATAAGCATGAAGCAGGTAAACAATTCTTTTAACAATAAGAGATTTCCAAAATTCATATTTCATCATTTATCAATTTATCTCAGGCCAGAGAGGCAATATCATTATTTATAATATCAAGGCAAGCAATACAAGCATACGCAAACCATGCCGAGGTGGTACAGCCCGATCCAACATAATATTTAAACTGTGCACTGCCAGAGGGTCGAATGGCGCGAACCATAGATGCATCTATTACCCCGCTCGTGAATCATACATGTGAGGCGGTCAAATATAAATTAACACATCAAGCAGTCAATCAAGAATTCATCAGGGATACAATTACCTAAAGAAATGACAACTTCTCTTTTAACAGTCAAGAAAGTGATGTTTGGCCCTTTAGAAATTTATTTACCAAGTTCGATCTGAT